CTTCCTTTTTCCTACTCAGACAGTGCTTAACGTACTGTGGATGGTGTACCCGCGAGAAACGTTGAGTCATTAAAATCATCCAAGCGAGCCGGTAGTCATTTTCGTAAGAATGGAAACTTTGAAAAATCATTGGGCCTTGTGGGGCCTTTTGCACTTTGCAAAATCGGTGTTCTCAACGATTGAGCTGTGGACGGCATAGGGGTAGTTATTTCAGTGGGTTGTTCCTCGTGGCTAGTGCGTGCAACCCTGGTTATCGCCGAGTACAGGATGACGGTAAGCTGAGATTTGGTGGCACTCACTTGCTTCGTGGGGCAAGTGATCGTTGAGAATGCAGTTCTGCCGCTGCTGCCGGAAGATGAAAAATTCGGCTGCGAGGTGTAGAACCATAGTTCATCATAAAAGCTATCCAGTTCCAAATGAACCGCTTTCTGAGTTAGGGTTTCAGTTGGCAGGTGTTTCATTGTCATGCCAGGCACGATTATCAAAGCATCGAAACCTCCCGAGACTTCCATACGAACAACTTACTCTAAACATCCACACCCTAAGCCACAAATAGTCATCACAATTTTCAAGAAATACGCTGAAACCAACGGCCTCCTGATGGCCGCTATTTGGTTAAATGCTGTATCGAAAGTACTTCACCCTTATGCGTGTAGTATTCTCCTCTCCTGCCCTCCTGCTGAGTGCGTTTTGTTCTTGTAAAGTATTCAAAAACATTGACCACTCATTTTGTTTGACTTCATTCAATTTGCCTGTTCCACCATATTTAACCTCTTGTCTCGATTAGTGTTACAATTGTATTTCGTTTTGAATAGAAGCTGCAGTAGCCGTCTAAGCTTAAGGTTCGTAATCAAGTTTAGGACAAACATTTGGCTGTACAAACAGCTTTCGCGGGGTTCACTTACCGTTTTTCGGCGACCAATTGTTTTGGATTTGGTTGGTTTCACTTTGGGTTTCGGGGACACCGGAAATTCGTATCTTCGTTACGTGCTACTCAGCGGATGTGACGTACCACCCCCTATGACCCTACGGCTTGATCTCAATCATTAGCGTTCGTCACATTATTCTTCCTTTCCCTGATTCTCTGAATCAACGTATATTTTTCGTTTTATTTTATTTCCTTTTGTCTTATCTCGCTTCAGCTTCGTTGTTTTCTTCTAATTTTGCTTGCCTTCCCTTTACGATAACTCCTGACAACAACCTGGTGGCATGACACCCGATTTACCCTTCTGGAACGTACACCCAAGACAAAGTATTAAACCCTCTGCAACGTTAGCCAACCCCAACCGCCCTTCTTCTTTGCCAGAGAGAGAGTCTGTAAGTGGGTAGACCAGCCACATCAGAATCTACCGAATGCCTGGAATCGTTCTGCCACACCTAAAAGCAAGCTTGAAGAAACTAATTGGTTTATACAAGCTCGTCAAACAGATATTGGATTTCTAGGTGCACTGGCTAAAAGGGACGTGGCTTTTGGTCATAAAATTTGCAAAAAGCGGGCATGCTAGTAGTGTGATAATGACGTACTAGACCAATATTACACCTTCATGGCGCGTCATCCAAGCGTGTGCTTCTAGTACGCCTGCCCGCAGTGTCGTGTTATTCCACTTCTGTCCACAGGCTGTCTTAGAGAAGTTAAAGACCCCACAGTGGCCACTGAGATGCCGGCACCTGCACAAACTACTGCCGCAAGTGGGAGCTTAAAAAACAATAATGACAGCATCGTTTCTCGAACAGCCACAGCTGCGAACTGTCCGAAAGGGGCCGAACGATGGCTAGCCCCACTATCGGCCACCTCAGCAACAAACCTCAAAGTTGTTCCAGCGGCTACCCCCAATATGCATCGGGAATAATGAGTTACGGTGGACAAATAGCGGATGTCTGGGTGCCCTAACTTCAGGACTGCCTGAGGCTGTTCAAGACCTACATACTGCTTTACCTAAAGGTCCACAACGTCGTTGTGCCACCATACCCGAGAAGAGATGTGAACCTTCTGGAGAAAGTCCAGAGACCAGCAACAAAGGTTTTTGTGGAAATAAGACAAAAACCCCATGAGAATAGGCTGAAAGGCCTAGGGCTTAACCGTTTTAGATGCGTGGGTTACGTGGTGACTCGGTAACTGTCAGCAAAATGTCAAGTAATCCAAGCCGTCCGAACAGCGGAATCCTGCCGAACGACCTCTGTGGCAGCCCTTGTGGTAACCCTAGGAGAACCACCCGCCAAGGGGTGAGAACCCCCGTGAATTCTCATCTTTTCCTGTCTGTGAGTTGGAGGCCACTGGTATTCATTATCTGCCGAGGTTGCTACTGCTCCATCTGCTAACAGATTCAAGAAGAGGTTGGACAGCTGCACAGCGACATACGATCTGCACTCATCCAGATGGCATACGGACTAGGTTAATACAACTTACTAATTCCGTACAACTCAGCATAGTCAACCCTACACCAAATCTTTTGTACCACCACGATCATAGCCAACTTGACCCAGCTCAACACTTCCCCTAGACGTCTGAAGTTACCACCCTCTACTAACGGTACTATTATCTCCATTCCCATAGCTCGTCTTATCACCCTACTCGCTCTTTCGCTTCCCCCCGACTCCATGCTCTCACAGCGCTTGATAAAAGTCCTCCCTATCACTTGTCTTCCGTGAATCTACCCGGGGTTTCCCCTTCCATTCCGCTTCCTTTCACCTTTTCTTTTTTGTTTCATTTCTTAGCACTTCCGCTCTCCTGATTTCTCTGAACATCTTTTCTACCTTCGTTTTAAGACCAGTTGAGCCTACTGTCTGGTGGCATGATGCTTGAGGAGCCCATCTGCAGCAGTTCTTGGAAAATTTAATCAACTTAGTCCAGGTAAGTCCCCTGGCTGCGGTAACCTAAAACCAGTGATTCTAATAAACTGCTCCGAGGTGCTTACAGAACCACTCTGCAACCTCTTTGAGTACTCAGCAGAGTCGCGCAAACTCCCTAACGAATGAAAGAGCGACATCTCACCAATCTTCAAAGTAGGAGACAGAAAAAACCCCGACAGCTACAGGCCAATTGCTCTACTTCCTGCTCTGTCGGCAGTGTTGGAAAGCCTGGTTGCTGACACTGCCTTGGAACTCCTCAATAAGGAAAACACTGTCCATTCTGCTCAGCATGGCTTCCGGAGTGGTCGCTTATGTGCCACCAACATACTAATCGCCTATGACGACTGGACACAAAGCTGGGATAACAGAAAACCGGTGCATGTGGTATTTCTCGACCTAGCCAAAGCATTTGACAGTGTCCCACCCACAGTCCTGCTTCACAAGATCATGTCAGCTGGTATAAGTGAACCAGCACTCTCTTGGTTCTAGAAGTACCTGGAAGGGAGGCAGTTCTGTACTGAAGTAAACAGACTACGGTCGGAGTGGAGACCATGGACATCAGGAGTATCCCAGGGAGAAATCCAGGACCACTTCTGTTCTTGCTGTTTGCCAACGATCTGCCAGACGAAATATCCTCGCCCATCCTCCCCCTCGCTGATGAAATTAAAATTTGGAGGGTGGTAAACGAAGAAGCTGACTGCGCAGCTCTACAAAATTGCTTGCAGTGACTCTAACTCTGGTCGTCGGAAAGTGGCCTGAGCTCCAAGCTGGAAAAGTGCAAAGTAATGCATATCGGTAAGTGTGAAGGAAGTACGACCGACTCTCAGTACACGTTGAGCAACCGTGCTACCACCAGGGTGTCCGTGGAGAAAGATTTGGGGGTCAACTTCTCCTACACCTTGGACACCAGCTCCAACTACAAAGGTATGACAACCAGGGCGAATGCCATCCCACACCTTTTTGCGTAGACGGCTTGGCGCCCTTACTCCCGAACTCTTCCTCACCATTTTCAAATCATACATGCGACCGCATCCAGAGGTCTTCAATACGGTGGCTTCCTCAACACTCAAGAGAGACTCCAATCTCCTTGAAGGAATACAAAGAACTGCAACAAAATCAGTTGTGGGGCTAAGGGGCGAGACGTATCCTGAAGGACTTAAACACCTAAACCCATATACCTTGGGTTATCGCAGGAAGGGGGTGACCTCTTTATGGCATGCAAGATGGCCCATGAGACAGACCACGCAAACAAATCAATTTTGCCTGCAATTCAGCGGTCTTCACGAGGAAACCCCATCAAGATGGCACACCAGAGATCCAACACCATGCTCAGGTCCAGTTTTTTCTCCCTGGCAGTATGTGCTTTATGGAAAGCCTTACCGCGACATGTCGTCATACCTTCCTCACTCGACTCATTCAAGAGACGACTAGACAGTTATGTCACTTCGCATGGTCTACCATGGACGTACTCAGGTAGCCACCACCCTCACTAGCCCCTAACTCCCTCCTACCTACCACGAACTACCCCGCTCCTTAATACACCTAGATTACCCAGTAATTCTTCTGTAGGAACTAAACCGACACTACCATTCGGGCAATTCCCACACACTCTTCTCTCTTTCATTTCTCTTCTTTGCCCCTTCCTTTTGTCTTCTCCTTTTCTTTCTTTTGTCCTCTTTTCTCTTCCTTTAAGTTCTTTTTTCTTCTTCTTTCTCTCAATTTTTTACCACTACCTTACCATTCTCTTTCATTTACCTGCACAGACAGGAGCCGCCACAGTGCCTAGTAGACCGTAGCTCCCCACCCACTCTACGAATTACAACTTACTAACCCACAAAACATCCACCTCACCGAAGATAAAAGCAAGAAAGCAGAGCCGGTCTCCTCGTCCACTGCGGAGGTGAACCGAACAACTCTAACCAAGCCCTGAGAACTAGACGTGAGAGATTAAAAACTGTCAGTTTTCTACGCTCGCACTGTCAATATTGGATATTGCAACACGCAACCACCCATCAGGCTAACCAGATCTACAGTAGGTGGCTGGCTAGACGTACTGCATCTAAATCTACTAAAGACCCGGAATCACTCCGAAAGGCCTAGAAGCGAGAGTAGAGAAATAAATTAGTTTACACTAGTTCGTAAAAAGATATTGGATATTGATGGGTCTGGCGAGTTTTCAACCTTGGCGTTACTACTGGCGTTTAGATGACTAAATAATCATAATTTAGAGATGAGTAGCTTTCCATCACTTGAGTATAGATCATTAAAAAGGAAGGAACACTGCCCCCCAGATGTGTACTGTCAAAGGATTGAGCAGAAGGAGGATTTGATGTGTGAAGATTTTGTCAAAGATGGCTTCAAATACACTAAGCCAGTGCGTGATGAATACGAATCATGTAAAGAGGAAAGCAGGTTCCTAAGTTCCGAAGCCGTCTGGAATTTCTGCTACAATGTTATGCTCAAGAAGTATGAATGTTCCAACTTTCAAGACTTCAAAAAGCGACAGACTACGAATATCCGTGATACTGTCATTCCCGTCATTGATATGTACAAAGAACAGGTTTGTGATTGGTTTCGGGAACTATCTAGCAATGTCCCACTTCAGAATCTTGGGCGTCGTGTTCCATTTTTTAAGGATAAGGAAGAAAGTTTGCATGAACTTCTTTTAAATAAAGTTCCCATATCTCGAGCTTTGTGGTTTGTTAATATGAGCGTTATTCAATCAACTGCAGTTGCAGAGACTGCAAAGAAAAAGCCAAGAGCACCACAGGATCCTACTGCTGAATGGTCCTCCACACTCTGTCGTATGCTATCTCGGGCCTTAGAGCCTATCTATGCACCAATCAAACATAATGAACTTTCAGCCCTGTATAATGACTGGGACTACCTTTTTTCCCTACTTATTGCTATGTATGATGCGGATATGGCGGATCATTGGGAAGTCATAATTTGGTTGATTAAAGTGGCGGAAAATATTCATGAACATATTCGAGGTCAGATGTTGTCCCCGTCCATTAGTTTGTCACCTAATCATTCTTCACATACTGGCAAAATTGTGTCTGATTTTCCACTGAAGTTCATTTTACATTATCTGATCAAATTTGGACGCCGATTTACTGAAAGTGAACTATTAATCCGGAGATTACTTCATTGGTGTTGCACCACGTTTGCAGATGTGTTAGTTTGTACTGGGTCTGAACATACTCCTTCAGCGACCATGCTACAGGGCATTTTAAATGAGTATAAAGACCTCGGAACATGCCCTTTACATCGAAACATCGCTATGTCATTAAGTAGTTTGATTACCTTCATAGTTCTAAGCTGTCCATCAGCTGCTCTGTGGAATCCTCTTCCTTTCGATACTGAACATGCTTATTTCAAAGGGTCACCACTTGATCATATTCCACACTCTTTGATCGCACTACCCTTACCGCGGGGAGAAGAATCAATATCAATACGTAAATGCTTGTCAGAAGTTGAGGAAGATATAATAAGGCGTAGTCAACTTGCTGAATCTGGTTGGCTCCTTGAACCAGTTATTGGAAACAATGGTGAAAATGTAAGTCGGTCCATTCTTGTTTTCAGCTTCATTGATAAACATCCAAAGAGACAATAGCATGTGCACTAAAGCCCCGGCTTAGTATCTACTGAAGGTTACTGACTAACCTCTTCATTATTCGATATTAGATGTACATTTCTGAGCGTATAGTTAGATTTCGTGGATATGTAGCTTATTATTTTAGGTATTTGACTCAAACAATAAGTTTCAGGTTCAAATCCTGCTCCACCGACTCTGAATTGGGCAAACAGGCAGTATCATAAGTCCTAACACAATTATCTAGTAAATAAATCCTACCAGGTTGACTTATACTAAATTGTCTCGACCGATATCTGCTATTATGGTGCAAGCTTGCATATCGCAATGACCCAACGAGCTATGTTGGTGGAGACATCTGTCCCATCATCCATCCATCCAAATCAACATAAGACCAGGCATTATTGTGTATCGGTCCGAGTTGCCACAGCTTATATCAGTACATCAAGTAAAAAGGTGTAGTAGCGTAGTAATTTACACCACCACGGTAGCTGCTTTTCGTCTAGCCACTATCCAACAGACCTTTCTGGTATAGTAGGACCTCAAGGGAACAAGTGTTCCACCAGCATATCTCGATGGATCATTGTGATATGCAAGCCCGACCACCATGTCAAGGTAGCAGCTATCGGTTGTTTCTTTTCGACCATCCGGCCGCAAAACAACAAAAGTCCAAAACATTTGTTCCTTGAGGTCCTATCATTCCATAGAGCTCTTTGAGTAGCAGTAAGACAAAGGATAAACTTACAGTGCAAATATCTTTGCTATAATGGTGGTTCGAGGACTAAGTGGTAGTGCTTGCTGGATGAGGTGTGATAGCAGTAAGGTGTTTAGCGCGGATGACCAACAGCCCATGCTTATTCTCTTTTCCCTGTGGGAACGGGACAAAGTTTGAACGATCTGCCCCCAAAATAACACTGTAGCCCTACGGTATTCCGATGCCGGGGATATGGGCGTTTCTTGTCACACCATATGACAGTCAAATCCCAATTCGAACTTGTGGAAAAGGATGTTTGTGAATGGTTTCCAGGTGATACTCCTCTCTTCTTTCAGAAACTTCCAAGCTGTGAGCAGCCATATGCAGGCTTTCAACAGCAGAAACAATCAACCTAGTCACAACTACCTTCACTTTTATCCCCTCTGTTGCCTTCACTCTCTGATTTCAACTGAACCCTTTCGAGCTTCCTCACACTCTCACATCGCAGTCATTGCTAATGATCCAAGCCAACAAAACACAATTTCTAGTCTCCTAAAACTACATTGTCGATTTCACACCGAAGCTTTCAACAGTTGAATACTAGGGGAAATGGGATAACAGGCATCTGTTACCAAAACCCACGGGTTTCGAGCGATGAAAGTATGCTGTGTTTTTAAGATGCACCTACAGGATCCGTGTAGTTTTTCACGTCACATTGTCTGGCAAATGTCCGAATGAGTGCTTAGCTCCTGTGTATATACTGGTGCAGGTATGGCACTAAGTTGTAGAACAGGAAGCGTAATTCCTAAGTGGTTAGTAGTCAATAACCGACTATACGTTGTCCAATCTAGTGTATTTTCGCAACGTCACCCGAACTAATTGATGAGAGAAGACTCATTCCAGCTGACTCTGACCACAATGAAGAGCAAAAGTGCCTTAAGGATGAATTGACTACAATTTATTGCAATGACTGCGAGCAGTGGTGATTGGCGAAAGTGAAAGACACGGAGGAGTCATCAGCACTAGGTAATTAAAGATACTGTCAATAAAAAGACGATGTCTAGAGAGATAATCACTGAAAAGAATGGGTTTCCTTGTAACGTTGGGCAGAACTCTTTGGAGAATCGTCCAACTGACCTACAACCACGTTTCAGTTGCCGATCACCCAACCTGAATGGGACGTAGATGTTGATCCTTCAACAGGTACTAGCCAGTGTGTGGAAGTCAGAAGTATTCTCACCAAACTAGTCAAGACAGTTAATTATTCCAGTTTTTAAGAAAGTAAAGAAGTCCTTTTGTGACGACCATAGGAGTATCAGTTTAATTATCTTTGATTCTAAGATCCTAGGGATCGTAGTTACACGACTCCAAGTTGGAGCTTGATAACAACACTCTAAGAAGCCGGTCGAGTTGCAGTCTTGGACAAGAGTGCATCCATCGAATCTCCACTCTTCTTTGAAAGGAGAAATGAAAACGTGAGGCGGTTAGAGGGTTTTGACCATAGGTTTCTCACGCCCAATGGAATCACCGTGTGAGCAATGTTAAGGTCAGGCAAAACACGCTGGCAAGTCGGTCGATGGGATTGTGAGCCTTCATCGGCTGAGGTGGCTTGGTTATGTGTTGCGCATGCCGATCCACTGCCTACATCGACGTGCCATGCTAGAGATAGTTGGATTGGGTTAGAAGAGGGTTCAGGGCGGTGGGATCAGTCGATAAAGTCTCTGACCATCGGTCTGTGCTGTGTGGGAGATGTGGACTGCCTAGCTGGGGTCTTCGAAACGATAGTAATCAGTGGTTGAGGGCTGTTGGTGACGGCTGAAAATCGATCTTAGTGGCACGAATGGATTCACTCTTTGACGTCTTCTAAAACTTGAGTATTCCCACTCACCTTTGTCTTCAGATTGTTTATTCTTCTCTCACACAACTTTGTCTACTTTGATATCACTTTTTGTACCCTCTAGTTCTTCCTATACTACTATGAAGTGTGACAACTTGAGCCAACGCACTTGTGTGCGAAGTTCCACGTCAAACTTGTCTGTTTGCCTATCTGTCCATTCTTCTATAGGTTTTAGAACAAGTGAAGTGTAAGATGATGCTTCAAGAGGGGTCTGATTGGGGTCATAATTTAAGAATAGGGAGTGGCGTGGTTGAGTGTGTCGATCACATCAGCCCGAATGAACTGGTAGGTGACGAAATCTCAACTCGGATACAAAAGGCACATTTGACATTCTTCAACTCGCGCCATTCACGACGCCTGTGAGAAGTCCCACCACCTATTAAAGGACAAGTACATTGCACTGCATTCCTTTCTGTCCTGTTACATGTCTATGAGACTTGGCCTCTGAAAGTAGAAGGCATGAATAGATTACAGGTTTCTGACCACAGTTTACCTGGATTGCGATGTTATCTGAAGTAGGTTTAGGTTGTGAGAGGGCTCAGGGTGGTCAGACCAAGACGTGGCATCATACCAAGAAGCCTTTGTTTGTTGATCTGAGCTCTGTATGGAAGTGTAGATTACTGGGTTGGGACCTCTAGAGATAATAGGAATTTATAATTGGAGACTTGATGACATGGTTGAAATTCGGTTCCAATAGCGCAGATGTATTTACTGTTTGAAACCTTGAATCTTTTCACCAACCTTTATTTATTTCTTTTCTTCTCTACCGTACACTTCAGTTTCCTTGAGTAGCATGGTGCTGTGAAGTGTAGGCAATTGAACTGATACAATTTGTGAGGTGATTGCGTCAGTTTCTCTAGTCAGGCTTTTGAGGATTATTTCTGGAGTAAAATTCATATTTTACTAACATATGGCGTATTAATTTGCACTGACAATTAAACTATTTTCTGGTCGAATATCCTTTAGTTTTACTTTATTCCTTATCCCCTCGCACGAAATACTCTAGCCACTAAGTTTTTCAACAACTCAAAATGTCTGCAGTTAGTTCTATCACCAAACTCAGGCATTCTGATTAAACTCACCAGGCTGCTTCATCCGTGAGAAAGATTTAACTTAAATAATGGGGGTGGGGTTGAAATAATAATAATGATGGTTATAATTATAATGTTGCCAGTTGATTACTTCACTTAACTTGTCCGATTCATATTATCTAATCCTTAGACTGTTTAGTAACTCCATCACGTTCTCACTTTTTTTAAATCTATATGCACCTTATAAACGATTTAAAACCTTACGTAACCTTTTTTGTTATCATTCGACTGTTACGTCACCGACTAGCAACATTATAATTATAACCACCATTAATAATCATTGTATAAGGTGTATTTTGACTTGTGTAATACCGGCGTAGTATATTGGAACAAATAACGAAATAAACAACGACAAAACAGTAAGAAGACGTAAATTGTCTGAACCGCGTAATGTATTTGCGCAACACATTTCGAACTATCTGATCACACACGTACTTGTCATAGATACTCATATAAAAACTCATGAAGATAAAGGGTGAGAAAATAAAAAGAGGTCAGGTAGGAAGGCTGAATAACAATGAAAATCAATAGAGCATAAATAATAATACATCGAACTTGGTTTTCAATAGTTGAATTTACCAAAGATTTAATGTGACAACAAATTGTTTATGAACACACAAAGGTGGTTTCAGCTTTCGAATAACTAAGGCTTCAACAAATTTAAGGGTCCCTCCTCAACATGTTTTGTAAATAGGTGTAGAGGAATTAGCCATATAAAAGGAACTTATTGTTTTAAAACAAACAACGTTTCGATCTTGCTAGGAATATCCTTTTCAAGAGGATGAATCTGACATTCAGTTTTCAGGTTAATATTCAACTTTTGGTACAGAAAGTGGTGACCTTTACAACCATCCAATTACATAGTGATATAGAGCAAAGATCGATGTAATACAGATGTGTGAATAAGCAACTCGGTCAATGAGGTTGTTTTTTCAGTTGTGCGAGTAAGGTGGAACAAAATTAGGGTGGGGAAACATTTTTTTTATCCTGTCTATGAAAAGTACAATGGAGTTGTGAGACATCAAGGGTGAGAAAGAATAGATTACTAGTTTGGAAGGATGAATATTTGAACATCAGACAATATATGATAAATAAATAATAATAACAATAATAATAATGAAAATGGTAAATGTACTTTTGATAACACTTGAAGTATGAGTGATAACATAATGGATTATGTTATCGTTCATCAAATGGATATAACTCAGAAAGTAGCGTAAAATTGATGAAAATAGTAGACCAATAAAGTGCCATGTAATAGGACTAGACATGCTGTTAAAATGCAACCAGTATTTTCTTTTTCTCCTCGTGGTTAAGACGATTCAGAGAAATAACACCGGAGACTATCCAAACAAAAATGAATTCGGAATAAATCATGTGCAAGGAAATTGTGTTCTACCTTCTCTTCACATATTATTTACAACTGACTGGGTGAGTCATTAGTGTTTGCCATATTAGTGGGATGTCTAACGCATCTTTTCTGTCGACCGAAGAAGGATATGAAGAGATGTGCAAAGCTTCTACAAGGCTCTGCTCTTCGTGAGAAAGAAAACCCTTTTGCAGGATTTTCGTCTGTTCCAATGACATTTTATGACCTGAATATAGGGCATGAGCCGTGATAGCAGAGCTTTTTTAAAGCCTTTCTACATCATAACAATTTTATTGTTGTTTTTTTAGTGGAACTTCGACCGTGTTCAGCTACACATGTTAGTACTTGACGTGATGTCTCTCCAATGTATGTGGCATCGCATTCACCTACAGTCTACCTTATAAACACAGTTTTGTTGTTCCAAATGAGGAATCGGATCTTTTAATTTACACAGGTGTGAGTGTAATGTATTCGTCACCTTAAAGAATACTCTCATGTTGTAACTATCAAGGATACGCCTTATTTCCTCTGAAGTGGATGTTCGATAAGGAAATATTATAGTACTTATCCAATCTTTGTGGCATGGCTTTTTCATATTTTTATTCAATAAACTTTTGTCGATCCTTTTTAATAGTTTGTCCGGATAGTTATTTTGTTTTAAGACTTCCCGAACAAGTTACCTATCTGCTTACTGAGATTCCACTTTATTTGGTATCCTTTGTGATCTCGTCAACAGATTTTTGGTAACGATTAACTTAGTTTCCAATGGATGAGCCGAATCGAAGTCAAGGTAATTGTTACAATGTGTATATTTTCGATAGACATCAATGTCAAGTGTCCCATCATTGTTTCGTATCGCCTTGCAGTCTAGGAAAGCTAACGTTGTGAATTCTGTTTCTGGTTCATATTTGAATTTTCTAGAATTGAGACGGCTGTTGAGGTATTCAAAAGATTTTCTAGTCCTTGTTTTTTGGTTATGACGAAGGTGTCATCAACATACCTTCCTCAGGATACCTTCACCATTATTATTGTTGTTTCAACCTCCCATTATTTAAGTTAAATCTTCCTCACGGATTACTGTCTTTAGATATCATATATAATAGGAATGTACAGCTTGGGAATAAATTTGTTGAAAAGAGTCCTCTTTGCTGACTATCTTCTTTTTGATATCACAATGGGAATAATGAACGTATTGAATAGTTATGGCAAATGTTGTTCTTTTCAACTCCAACTTATGATCTATGCTGTACTTAAGTTTCTGAGTAAGGATTAATGATGGATCGTGACTAGCAATGGAATCCTGGATGCGCGTTTCGTCCTGTTTGGGACTCGTCAGCTGGATGTACCTGCTTCCCAGTGAGTGATGTTGTTCCCACCGGGATTCGGACTCGGGAGCGATCGCTTCAAACGCCAGCTCATTATCCACTACACCACCGAGCCATGATAGCCACTTCTTGTGCGACGGGTATGGTTTTAGTATAATTGTTTTTAGAGTCCGAATCCCTTTGGGAACAACACTCACTGGGAAGCAGGTACATCCAGCTGACGAGTCCCAAACCGAACGAAATGCGCATTTTGGATTCCACTGCTAGCCACGATGCATCATTAACATAACTAGAACGCAGGCAATATCGAAGCATCCGCGCAGGATCCCATATACTAATAGAGACCGATCAATTTAGTCCAATCAACGACGGTATGATATAAAAGCAGTTATGCTGAGTAAGGATTGTTTATATATTTCTAAGACCGAGTGAAATGTTTTACGCAATAAACTGTATTATAACAGATAATTAGAACAGTATAAATTTGCTAGTGGTGTCAATAGTAGTTGAATTTTCTCAAGAATCTTGACTATGTCGTATAGATCTGATAATTGGAATGGCACATAGACTGATATCTTTCATTTTCAACTACTTATTCCTGACTTTGGTTGACTCTTCATCCAGAATTCCTTCCATAGTTTCATAATTTGTTCGTTTATTTGACATAAGGAAGCAATATTACAATATTATTTACTGGATAATATTTTGAGGAAACTTTTGTTGCTCATAAAATAAAATTTCTGATATAATATTAAGCAGTAAATTGGTGTTCTAAACATCACCTATTAAACAGCACTACTATGTCACTGTATGCTATATGAAATAATTTAATTATATTATTATACTCTATCACAGTGCTTAAGTTCTGCATTTACAATAATACTTTCTGAAAGCCTCGAAGATGTATTATTTTCAGATTTAGGATTATTAAATACTTGTAATGTGTATTTGGTTTGTTCTTTTGAAATATAAGATTAGGTGGTATTCGACATCAGATTCACCATAAATTGTATGTTCGATGTAACTAACTAGCTAGCTAAATAATTCTACACAAACAGTTTAACTAGTGAAAATACATACATGCATACACATACATATACATACAAGTAACAGGAACACAATGAGGTAGCTTGTCTCAATTTTTGAACTTGGCACCGATAGATTGTAGATGACTGAATGTTATCTCTGTGTTTAAATTTTTGTCATAATATTACTGACGCCCAAAAAAGTCTTTGGACCATTATATAGGAGCTATCAGGACCGTAAATCTAGGTTTATTAAAGCCTTAACTGTGCAAAAGTTCAAACTCCTTTATATCTTCAAAAATAATTCGTCTTTACTTTAAACCTTCTTTGGTAATCTTTACCTCATTCTAATACCAAGAGAGGTGTGAAAATGTTTTATTCCTCATTATAATCCTCTACTTTTTTTTTCTTTTCGAATCTTGTATTATCTTAATTTATTTGCCCTACTCCACTTTATTTTCACCTTTCATATAAAATACCTTGAAAAGTGAATGTGTGACCAGATTATTTGAAATGTATTACACAAATACATCACATTTCTCAGATAACCTTCGTCTTCCTATTTTACATTATGCAAATTCATTAAAGAGACTATTTGTTTTAAAATTTGTCAATGGAACTCTTATTACAGACCGTCTAAAAGTAGTTTCTCAAATTTGTTATGAATTTAACTTTTGTTTTTATATCCTTAGTACGCATTGTTAGTGTCTCAATCGTGTTATGAATATTTATGATTATTTATTGATTTGTCCTTTGGGTTTCTGGTGGAACATAGGGCTTCAATAGCACATCGCCATTTCCCTCTCTTCTCTGCCATCTTCTTAACCTGACTCCACGACTTCCCAGAAGCCTTTATTTCTTCCTCATACGATCTCCTTCATGTCACCCTAAGCTGGGATGCCTAAGTCGTCATTTCCCACTTGGGTTCCACTCGACGGTCTGGCGCCTAATGTCCCCGAATGGTCTCCTCAGTGTATGTCCATTCCAATTCATCTCGACTTTCTTCTGCATATCTGTTGGGCGGTGGGTTCTTGATTGGTTCGTTGCCAGGCCAGAGTTCCTCGTTGCTTATTCTTCCTGGTTATCCGATCTTCAGTACCGAGTGAGCGTATGCAGCAGCTGTTGGTGTGATGTATGTCTGCAGTTTTTCGGAAATGCTTTTCGTAACGAGCTAAGTCTCTCAACCATCACATGGAAGCAGTGACTGACTTGACTGAATTAGTGTTGAAAATCCGGATCTTGTTGTTTATGCTGAGTTGAGTCCAGTGCAGTAGATCACACTGGTTTCAGATTGATGAAAGCGTGTTTTGCTGTCTTTGCGACCCTGGCTTTGACATTTTCATCTGTGCCACCGTCGCCGCCTGTAGTTGAAACGATGCTGTCTGCCTAAGTAGGTAGGTAGGTAGGTAGGTGAAAGTGACAACTTGCTTTAGATGTCTCCCGTTGATGGTGATTGGTGCTTGTTGTTGGTGTTATTGATGGTCGGGTATCTTCATTACCTCTGTCTTCTCTACGTTCACATGAATTGCCGTCTTCACTGTCTCGCCTGTTCTATCAACTTGTTAGTTTTCGCCTGTAGATCTTCGAGTTTGTGCAACAAGACATTGGACGTAAATTATGATCGGCGAAATCCAAATCTCGTAGGTTGTTTTCACTAGTCAAATAGCGTGTTGCCATCGTCTCGCTCCTCACAGTTTGTTGCATGATGCAGTCGAGTGGACCACAATCAGGAAGATTATTGGTGATAGTAGGTGGCAACTTTGTTTCACTACTTTCTGTCTTCACTTCAAAGGCATCACTGAGGTTTTCATTGTGAATCACTTGACATGTGGCGTCGTCATATAGCTGTTGAAGTTTCTTTAGCGATTGGGTCGGTTTTACGGGGTAGCGTTGCTAGCCCTATACCCAACCTTCCCTCTTTATCCGGGCTTAGGACCAACTAGTGAATTAGTAAACTAGGCGAGGTTCGTTTTGTGTATAGGCTAACAATAATTTCGAACTCGTTATTTCTAGACTTATCAAAGCAAGTGGTTCTGATGGAATTAGTAAAGTATCATATTTTGAGGAAACTGGGTGGTGTTACAATCATTCAAAGATAAATTATGATCAAAATTTATATGGGATTGAAATCCTTTTTTTATCCTCACTTTGTTGTAAGTCTATAGATTTTCTTGTTGTTTTCACATATGTTTATATGTTTAAATCAGTTTCTGCTTGATTCTTCTTTTAGGTTGAACGTCTTGTTCGTTTACTCGAAATATTAGATCGTCATGAATATCATCTTGTTCGTGAACCAAATCCTATGGAATCACTTTATAATCGTATATTCAATGATGATTCTATTCATACGGATACAGCTACTGTTGTAACAACTTTGTGTGAATGGGCTGTATCACCTTATCGTATTGGAATTTATCGATCAATAACAGTTGCATGCCTTCTAGAACAATTTAAGAATACTTTCTATGGGATTGGCAACAATAATAGTAACAGTATTATTAACACTGGTAATACAGTAGTCCAGTCGACAACGGCAACTATAATTTCTACTGCCAATAGTAATATTGGTGGTAATAGCAATGTTACTTCTAACAATAATAATAATAATAATAATAATAACGTTACTAATACCACCAATAACAACATAAATACCATGGGTTTTGAAGCCTATCAGTCATTACAAGAAACATTGATTAGATTTTTAGATAACTGTACTACACAATTACCACCATTCAACGGTGAACAGTCATTGATTGAAAATGATCTAATGCGTAATCTGGTGTGTTTATTCTCTGAACTAATTGATCGTGAAGTGTTTGATCATGATAATTATGTGAGATATTTTATTGCACGTGGTATTTTTGATACAAGTTTTCATCCATTAGCTATTTCTGACAACACTGGCCAGAGCAAAACCAATGTATCATGTAATCTATTGTCCTGTAGTAACAATATTAATCAATCCGTCAATACACCGACGAATGTGACACGTTCTGCTACTACTACTACTACTTCGATGACGTCGACAACAGCAACATGTCATTCACAGACAACAGCTCAGCATTCTGTTAAATCGGAATTCTCTGAAGATATGGATCGTTATAGTATGGATAATCCTGATTCTGTACGCTCTGAATCTGGTGTCATTAGTATGATGTCACTTCAGTCCTTGAATGTAAATAGTTCTGCTAGCATAACGAATGTCCCAACAAATCCTCATCAAGCATCCACTTCATGTAATCGTTTAGGTCATTCAAGTCAATCTGGTCACTTACACTATTTGATTCAATTCCCTATACCACAAGATGAAAGTTATGCACATGAACAAAATCAACGTTTTCAATTGTTGTATGGTTCTGTTCGATCACGTGATCGGGCAAGATATCCTATTCGAAAGTTAGTACGTGATATCTGTAAGCTGTTTACCAAGAAGATTTATTTAATCGATGTATTTCATGGTGAACTCGGTAGACGTAAAAAGAGTAAAGACAGAGAACGTGAAAAAGATGCCAGTAATAATAATAATAATAATACTAACAGTACTAACTCTAGTTGCCTTGGAACAGGGATATCAGTAGCAGGAATGACAACAGTCACACAATCTACAGCTTTAAGTACGGCAGCGTCAACTGCAGCAGGAACACCAGGAAGTACTGGAGGAAGTGGATCAAGCCATCGAAACACTAACGATGATACTAGATCAATTGATGAACTTCATGAAGATATAATGAAACGTTTCATTAATTTATCATTTTATGATATGGAATATGTACTTTCACAGTGTACTCCAGTATTTGTAAAAATGCTTAATGGTTCCAATTGTCATTCAACTACCAATACACCGGTTGAAGAAATTACTAATACAAATCTAACTACAATGAATACAAATTCACCATGTTCATCATCTAATTCAACTAATAATCAAAATAATATTATCATTAACAATAATAGTAATAGTAATAATCAATTATCAATGATCACAACCAGTATTCAATCGCATATTTATATGCCTGTACCAAGTTCAATATTTTTATTTTTTGAATTAATTGAAATATCATTGAATATTACATCATTAATATTAACTGTTATTGATACATTGGAACGTTTAAAGATATTATTTGAGAATCGTACACATTTTATGACATTATATATGTCATCTTTATGCCTTAGAACTGTTGGTATATTACAACGTTATCAAAATGTAGTATTTACAATGGGTGATATATCAAGTCGATTATTTCCTACATTAATTGAACAAGTTAGACAAGTGAAAGAACCAACTCAATGTGGACCACTTGAACGTTGTATTCTAATTTATTTAAATGATTTATTTACATCGAATGTTGTAGTTAAAACACGTTTCTCTCCTATATATGGTAAAGCACATCAAAAAGTTAATGCATTATTACGTCGTATTGATCCAAATGAAGGTATAAATCAATTTGATATAGATTATGCTAATGATTTATTAACAACAACATCAATGGATAATTTAACATCATTTCGTGCTTATGCTGAAGATTTACGCAGTAAATCAGATTCAAGATATAGTTTTGTTTGTAAAGCTATTATTTGGATATGTCAAGCGAAAACATCTGAACGTGTTAATTATTTATGTGGTTTATGTGCTGAATTAACTTCACAGTGTAGTGAATTAACATCAGAATGGCTTGGTGCATTCTATGCTATTTTAGCACCACGTTCATATGTACACGGTTATAATCCGTTAGTGAGTGCTATTGAACCAAGTCATATATGGATATATGATAATTTAAGTTCATTAATTGGTACATTACTATCTAGATATTGTTTTACTATATCAGATTTTTTACGATTAGTTATATGTCCAGCAATGGCTCAAGGATTAGATGATGTTAGCCAACCAGTTGGTGCTCAATTAGAATCGATTATCTCTTTAGCTTGTCATATACTTCATCGTTTATTTACAGCTGAGTCAACTGTTAGTTCATTACAAACTACTTCTAGTGTATTGACACCAACTTTAGATGTGAACACATCAAATAATACTAGTGCTACCATTACTAGTAATAATAACGCCATTAGTGCAAATTCTGATACATTGTTGAATCCATCACCTCCACCTTTTCGTATATCTGAACCACTACTTTTAACTGCTGCATTACAAAAAGTGACTTCAGAGTTTTTAGTTGATGTGCTTAAAATGCTTATTGTACATAGTGACAAAGCTTCAGTTGAAAGTCAAGCTCCAGGAAGTTTACAAGGAGAGAATACTGAAGAATTAGATAGTGATGGCAATGATGATGATGATGATGATGAAGGTGATGATGACGATGATGATTGTGGTGATGGAAATCCAAATGAACGTGATGATAACGATGATGAATTAACAGATGTTGACTCTGAAGGTGATACTTCTTTCAAGAATGCAGCTCGTAAACGTCCTAAAAATTCTCAACAAAAAGGTTTTAAATCGAAAAAATTTAAACGCCGTCGACGTCGTTTACAAAATCGTAAGACAATTTCACAGGTTCATTACATTGTACAACGATTTCTTGAACAAGATATTTTGCCTACGAGTGTGGAATTGCATTCTTTACCATTAAATGCATTAACTCAGTTAGTTCTACGTGAAATTTGTACTGTATCATGGGTACGTGAACGTTTTCATCAGATGACTCCAAATCAACTAATACGTGAAAATGTTTTGATTGATAAAAATTTCTCTCAAAGTCAAGCTAGACGTCTTTTACATATCATATATTGGCCGTATGATTTATCCTGGACAGATATAGCTTCGACATCTGAAGGACTTTCTGGTGCAATGTGTCATGTACTACGTGATTTAAATATATGGACATTAAAATGTGCACAAATGGAATTTCAATTATTATACGCTCAGATATCATTTTCACAACAAGGGGAAGTACTTGGCTATTTGGCACAATCAATTGTGCAAGGATTTCAAGTTCAAGTATTCAATTGGCTTGATTCTAATAATTGTGGAAATTTTCAGGATGGATCAATGGGACATTTTGATGGTCTACCAACCATTGAATTAGGTGATAATGATCCTGTTTGGTTATTACCTGCACTAATTGCTAAGTTACCAAAATCATTGAAGGCTCAAGTGGTCAAAGTTACATCAGAGGTTAGTTTTTCACTATCTTTTTCTCAAATGTTAATTGTTTCTCTGTTTTTTGAGTCTTCGAGTAAACCGGAATGCACTGCATATCTTTCTTTCATTTCACTTTGAAACTTCTAGGTAGTATGTACCCTCAATTCTTAAATCTGACCAGAGTTTTGGTCATATGAAGTGTTTGGTCGAAGCCTGACGGCTGTATGTATCGAACTGGTAGAACTATAGGTATGTTCAGTCTATGGGCCACAATTTCCAAGCTTGCTGCAACTACACAGCTTCAGACAGCCATGTAGTATCATCAATCCTCACACAATCGGTGTGGCTCATTGCCAATGAACGGCAATAAGGTCGCTGAGATAAGGGGGTGTGATGATTGCTTGGTGTTCTTGACTTTTGTTCCTGGACGTTTCATTTGCGGGTTAAGCGACTCTATCAGCATTTACTTCGTTTGGAAGTGAAATATTTTAAAGTTATATGGATGTTTATAAAGGATATTTACCCACCTTGAGCGTTATTGGGTAGGGATGATTTGTCCTTCTTTTTATCAGAGATTAACCCTTATGATTTGTCGTTATCGTTTGAGCTATGCTGTTCACGCACTATCTTATTATTGACTTGCTTAATGGATTCTCAGTTGGCTGATCCCTTAGCATATTGGGTCCATGTCCATGTGTCTGTCTACTCCCCTTTAGTTGGAATGCCATGCTTCCAGGATCTGTCTTTCAGTGTTTGCGCTTTAATGTTGTAGTATTTCCACATTGTCCCAATCGGAGATATGGCTGTTTTATCTACATGGATCGTTTGACTGGAAGTTGGTAATCATAAATCATTTGAGCTACTCGGTGACTGGATTGGCCAGCATAGTGATGTTGACTGTCTTTATACTCGTCTTGTTTTCCTTGGGTAATGGATCCTTCAACTTTCATAAGATGTGTTTTAGGGATTTTGATGGTTTGTGTGCCACACCGATACCGAATGGGTGAAGTAATCAGTTGACACTTTCTAAAACATCTTTGATGTTTGGTAAAGTGACTCATTGTGTAAGTTGAGGTAATTGTCATGATGTATGCTCTGTTGATAGGCGCTTCTTGATGAAATTCACTGGATAGTCATTGACTCTGAAGGCTTTACACAGTTGAGTTTCTTCTGACATCCGTAAATGTTGAGCACCACAATGAGTTTTGGCATATATGAATAAAAGCTAATACAAATCTGGTAATAATTTGAGTTGTTACTGTTGTAGTACAGGATTTGGTGTATATGTTGCTTTCCTGTACACTTGAGTGTATAAGGTTCGATCATGTGTTCTTCTGACAAACACGTATAGGAAGGCGATTTCATTGTTTCCTTCTCATTTTGTGAACTGAATACCTTCAAAGGTTTGTTTGATGAGACCGGACGTGTTTTTCAGCTTACTTGTTAAACACAGAAGTATCGTCGACGTAAGAAATGTAGATTTTTGATATGATTATTAGAATGACTATTGATTCTAATTCTACTTCAGTGATCAGTCTGGATATCAGAGAGCCTATGGCCGTCCCTTTAATTTATTTATAGGTCTTGGTGTTGAGTATGTTGCGAGACATAGGTTGATTAGTTCTACGAAATTTGTAGCGGTAATTTTCGCGTAATTGTGAAAATTCTAGTGATTATTGAAAAGGATTCTCATTGTTTATTTGGTAAGATCCAGGTTAATTGAACTGAGAAGTGTAATTGCATCGAAGGACACCAATGGAGGCTGTTTTTACCTTGGTAATTCGTTGTTATATTGGTTACGTATTACGTCTTCCTTTCAATATAATGAGTGTTGATCACATTTTGATTATTTATTGGCTAACATTTTTCCTCATTATTAACTCTCTTATCTTGAATCCTTGTCCATTTGATGGCATGTTTTATAGATCTAGAAGTTTAGAAAAAAGATTGATTCAAGGAAAAAATATGCTTCTTTCTAATCAGGTCTTCGTCTTTGGCTCTACACTAACACATTATATATATAATTACAGATTTTAAGTAAGTCATAAAGAGACATCAAGATGCAAATAATTAACAGAGTGAAACATCCGGGATTAAAAATGGTAATTATAATAATGTGAGACAAGTTACTTCTAGACATATTCTAGGCATATTAACTGGTAAAGTAAGTTGAGATTTTTTCTTGAGTCTCCAGTTATAAACAATAAATAATTGCTTAAAAATAAAAAACTGAATTAACATTGATAAAACAAGAGGAAGAGGAGGTGTACAAAGTAGTACTAAAAGTTACATCATTGTTGACGCCGAACAGCAATGCAAGCAATTGAACAAATTTCTTTTGAATGCAAGTTTATATTTATTAAGATGCATTGCAATCTCCTGTGCTATGGGAAGCAGTCAGATAGGTAGTCCATGTGGTAAATTATTTAGTGTACGATGAATAGTTTTAAAAGCTTTTCTAGTATCCACTTGATGTCCCGTGTCAACTAGGTGTGCAGGTATAGATATCTTTATTGTTCTAATCTGTCTTTTATTCAATCATGATAGATGGTATTCAAAGATTCGACGATGGACCTGTCTTACTGACCACTCAAGAAAAAGCATTCAACTTACTTTACAAGTTAATATCCACTTTGCCTAGAAGTAACCTGTTTCACATTATTATAATTACCATTTTGAATCCTGTATAATTTACTCCGTTGATTATTTGCATCTTGATTCCTCGAACTTATCATGACTTACTTAAGATCTGTAATTATTGTTTATCAGCCCCTTCCCCACTATCTGATGAAGTCCATGTCGCTTTGTGGATATCCTTGTGCTCAAACACAGTGCCTCCAATCACCAAATCGTTGAATGCTCAGAAGCCTGCAAACAATTCTCCATTCTCATGCATTTCACCGAGCGCTTCTCGACCCATGGTTAGTTCTCTTTCTGTGTTGTTCGCTCCCAGTTTGCATTCATGTCGCCCATTAGAATTTTGATGTCACCAACTGAGAGGGGGTCTTGTCCAGTGTTGATTGCAGTTGTCTGCAGAATTCCTCCTTCTCTTGATCTGCATTATTTGTTGGCGCGTAGCGTAGAATTGTATGATTGTGACTTTTCTTCCCGTTGAGTTGAGCCTTGCTGTTATGATCGTTGAGGAGATTGGTTCCTACTGCATGAGAGTCTTAAATGCTTTTGGGACATCATGATAGCCGCTCCAAAACTCAGTGTGCTCGTGGTTGTCGTCTGGGTGACCGGAGTAGATTATTGATTCTCCAGTTGACAGTTTGGAAAGTCCACTTCCATTCCACCTGCTTTCAGAGATTCCTAGCACTTCAATGCTATACCTTCTCATCTCCTTTGCAATCTGGGAAGCCTTGCTAGGTTCAAGCATAGTGCGGACATTTTATGTCCCCATCCTTACTTTCGTTTTCATCGGGAGGAGAGTAGACAGATCAACCAATTGTCTTCCCGAAGGCTTCCACCAATCGGCGTCATTTCGTCTCTGCGATCCCAGTGAGGAATAAATTTGTTTTATGTCTTATATTTTGTCTATGCTTTGAAGTTTCTGTAATGGTTGGATTGGTTTTCCGGTGTAGGGTTGGTAGCCCTATGCCCAACCTTCCCTCTTTATCCTGGTTAGGATCGGCTAGTAACTAGTGAACTAGTTAACCAGGCGAGGTTTATATGTATAGTGTAGAATCAAGTACGAAAACCTAATTAAAAAGAATTATATTTCTTCCCAGAATCAACCTTCTTTAAAGATCTAGAATTATCTTTTTATTGACATATAAATTGTGGATTTTACGAATTCCCCAACATATAACCTTTCAAAGTACCTGACAAAAATCCTTAAACGATTACAAGACAACTTGGTAAGTATCATTAAAAATTCATTAGACTTCAAACAAAAATTATTACAAACAACGATTGAAGATGATGAAACAATGGTTAGCTTTGATGTTGTTTCACTATATACAAATATTCAGACTGATGAAATGCATACAAGTGGTTAGAATTTTATTAGAGTCAGATACTTCTTTATCACTTGGATGTAATATTTTCATCAGTGAAATCAGTGATGCACTGAGATTATATCTGACCTCAACCTTTTTTACTTTCGAGTGGACCTTTATCGTCAAACCAGTAGGGTAGCAATGGGCCCACCTGTCTCACCCATTGTAGCTAATCTATACATGCACAAAGTAGAATCAGATATACTTAGCCAACATAATTTAAAACCAAGAATATGGTGGAGGTATGTTGATGATACCTTCGTCATAACCAAAAAACAAGGACTAGAAAATCTTTTGAATACCTTAACAGCCGTTCAATTCTAAAAAATTCAAATATGAACCAGAAACAGAATTCACAACGTTAGCTTTCCTAGACTGCAAGGCGATACGAAACAATGATGGGACACTTGACATTGATGTCTATCGAAAAGATACACATTGTAACAATTACCTTGACTTCGATTCGGCTCATCCATTGGAAACTAAGTTAATCGTTACCAAAAATCTGTTGACGAGATCACAAAGGATACCAAATAAAGTGGAATCTCAGTAAGCAGATAGGTAACTTGTTCGGGAAGTCTTAAAACAAAATAACTATCCGGACAAACTATTAAAAAGGATCGACAAAAGTTTATTGAATAAAAATATGAAAAAGCCATGCCACAAAGATTGGATAAGTACTATAATATTTCCTTATCGAACATCCACTTCAGAGGAAATAAGGCGTATCCTTGATAGTTACAACATGAGAGTATTCTTTAAGGTGACGAATACATTACACTCACACCTGTGTAAATTAAAAGATCCGATTCCTCATTTGGAACAACAAAACTGTGTTTATAAGGTAGACTGTAGGTGAATGCGATGCCACATACATTGGAGAGACATCACGTCAAGTACTAACATGTGTAGCTGAACACGGTCGAAGTTCCACTAAAAAAACAACAATAAAATTGTTATGATGTAGAAAGGCTTGAAAAAAGCTCTGCTATCACGGCTCATGCCCTATATTCAGGTCATAAAATGTCATTG